GCTTTAAAACCATAAAAATCAGTCACTATATATATATCTATTTAAATGCTTGTACAGTGAGCATTTACATTTAATACCCTTCATATTTAACTAAATTCACCAATACAAAAATGACACTGGGTTGACGCATTTCACTTTATTTTATATTAAGTAAAATGGGGGTGTGCGATAGACTTACCTCCACGTGGTGCACCCTGAACAACGTATACTCATACGGCAAAAAAGTCTATTAACCGGCAGTTGACTTCTGACTTCAAACTACCATCACCCCACTGTATGTCAACTTCGACTCCTTCAACCGCACTCACCTCACCTTTTTTCAACTTTGTGTCTGTCTCTTTTACATCTTTGAAACACTCTTCTGATCCCCTCCATCTCGACCTTTTCACTTTGATGTTTCTTCCCATCTGTGAAGCCCGAAGTCAACTAAAGGGCTAATGACAACTATCAAAACGCCTGCCATTTGTATAAATAAATATATTACCTAAAATAAGCCAAGTTTAATATACTAGAATTAATGATTTAAAATGCCGAATGGACGGCTTCTGGATTTAAAGGAATGCCAGAAAATGGTGGAAGCGAATTCTATTAGTACCTATGATTTGACATTGGCATACTACACTAATAAGATATTGGGATATTTATATCTAATGGCAGGCGTTATGATAGTTATCATTAGCCCTTAAGTTGACTTCAGGCTTCACAGAGGGGAAGGAAAATCGAAGTGAAAAAAGTCGAGAGGGGACATAAACTATTGCAGAATTAAACCTATTTAATCTAATTTATAGAGCATGGAAATATTAGGAGACATTAAGTCTAAATTTCTGTCCTGATGAAAGGTTTAAGGGTCAAGTTATAGCCAAAACAATAACTGACAAGATTACCATTGACCTCAAAGACAGACAGCTATGACCGATTGCCCAAATATTTGCTACTACGCCTCTTAAATCTATTAATAACAACCTGACTGGCAGATTTTTTACCTTCCAAACTCCCAATTCTCTCTAATCATTTCTAAACAAAATAATGGGTGTACAAGAGTTATTGTTGAATTTTTACGCGAAATACTTTATCTCGAGGATATTAGGCTCTAAAGAGTAAATATAATCAAATGATTAATTTTAAAAGAACTGAACGCTGACAAATAATGAAGAAATTTCATATGATAGGAGGTAAAAGGCTTCCTTCTTCACAAATCAGTGCCATTCTTCCTAGAAACTAGGAAAAACCTAGAGAATTTAAGCATCCATTGGTGAAAGTAGAGTACCATCCAGGCAATTCTTAGCAAACACTCATGACTCCAATAATGTGCTGCCTTATCACATCGGTTCTTACAAACTGAGAACTAAGTCAAACAGTAGCTAGGATATCCTGAGATAACTTGCAATAGCAAAGTCACATCTGAGTATACTCCCATTTACATTTGGTCGGAAAGACGAAAATAGACATGGCAACGGTGAATTCAATGATGAAAGCTTCATTTTATCTATCAAGTAATTCATCATTCGGCCAGACTCCAAGGTTTAGGTATTACAGTCATTCAGTGAATTCACAGAGCTTATTTAAATTCCCTCTGCTATTTAGCATGACTGCTGACTTGAGTAAACAAAGAGTGGGTGTTATGCGGGAAAGCGAGGATGAAAGCAATTATTTATATCAAATGGCAGGCTTTATGATAGTTATCGTTAGTTCTTTAGCTGACTTCAGGCTTCACAGAGGTGAGAAACATAAAATTCGCAATTCGTGGAGAGGGAGGAAAGAGGACTGCTTCACAGATGTAAGAGAGATAGATATAAAAGTAGAGAAAAAAGGTAAGGTGGGTAACCGACGAAAAAATAAAAGATGAAGAAAAGTAGTTACTGTCTATTGTTTAGATCGACGTTTAATGAGTTGCAAGAGTCGAACATTCTATGTGTGAAATAAAATTTAAAACAAATTTATGATAAAAAGGGTATTTTCAATCGATTCTTTAATAGACGTCGATTTGACAGAACCGGACAAATAGACGGTTCATATGAGCCATACTGCTGACCCAATTCACACATCACTGAGGTTAATTTATGCACTTTCATCTGGTCAAGGCAGTTGAAATTACGGTAACATAATTTTGAGAGTGCTAATTCCGATATATGCTACGGGATATTAATCGAAAATAAAGGTACTTAGCCACTAGTTGCGATACCTCTTACCTTTCAACTCCACTTCATAACTGCATACAAAGACGGCCATTCATAAGAGGTCGGAAAAAGTGTACGTCTTGATCTATATATGGAGTCAAATAAGAAGTTAGGGAATACAAATGAGTCACTCCTCAGGACAACTAAATTTTACTCACTGATGGTGGCTGTTGCTAGGGGAGTAACTTTCTGGTGTATAAGATGGTAAGTAGTATCAAGGCCATTTTCCCATTTTGAAATGTGCTGGAAATTGGACTAATTCACAAGGTCTCCGTTGAAGTAAAGTATTTTGTGACATTAAAACAGCTCTTCGGAAATTATTGAATGCTCTAGTTAAATTTGTTATGCTATCTTGAACTGTTAAATATTAATTTATTTATTTCAAATGGCAGGCTTTGTGATATTTATCATTAGCCCTTAAACTTTGACTTCAGCTTCCCCTAAGGGTGGGGGGGGGGGGTACATTTATAGCAGTTAATTAATAGCAGTTCATTAGTAGTCTTCTTGCTTCCCAGTATCTCTGGCTTTCCGTTGTTGCCTTTAGGGCTGGACACCGAATCAGGTGGGTCTTTTCCATTTCCTCATGTAGGTTACATAGAGGGCATGTGGGTTGAGTGTATACTCCCAATCTGTGAGGATGTTATGCCAAGCAATCGTGTCCGGTAAGTAGTCTAAACTCAGCAACGTCTTCGATTCTTGGCCAGTTGGCTATATCGGAGAGTGCCACTGTCCACTGTTTCTCCTTTGTTCGAGCTTTAATTTCGTTGCACCTTGAGGTCTGGAATTCTCTTCTGATTAGGGCCTTCATTGTGTGGAAAGACATCGGCCGGTCCATGCATTGCAAAATCGTTGTCCCCTTCTTAGCAAGTGTGTCAGCAAGCTCATTGCCTTTAATGCCACAGTGGCCAGGAATCCATTGTAGGACCACTGTTTTGTTTTTCTCTCTCAGCAGCTCATAGAGTTTTCTACATTCCTTTATCTCAGCTGTTTTGGGTGGCTCTCTGTTTCCAATAGAGTTTATTGCTGACTGTGAGTCAGAAAGTAACACCGCTTTGGTGAATTTCATATCGAGGCAACATAATTGGCATAGTGCTATCCTAATGAACTGTTAACTATTATTTAATTAATTTTCACTGTATTTCACTTTTCACATGCTCTTCTTAAAAGTTTCATTTTCGAAATCGGCTATTCCCACCAATGTCCTATTTCATTTTTAAGACAATGTTTATTGGCATAAAATCATAATTTCTTCCTTTAAACAAACTCCAATTGAGATTTCGCTCTTACATGAATGATTTGCTCACAGAGCAGCATTTCCCTACCGCCGCGGACCATTCCATGTGGATTTTTATCGCTTGAACTCATCCCAAATCCAAAATCAGAGTCATTTTTTCGATTTTTGGAAATACTAAATCTTGCCATTCTTTCAGCACTTTCAACTGTCCAACTAATATAATTTTATGAAGTAAAAGGATTTTCTTTCTTATCCCTGTTTGGCCACCTGTGCAATGAATTAAAGCAAAAAGATTGGGCTATCGTTCGGTAAAATTCCAATGTTTGGTTAGGTATGTCCAAAAGGTTCCCTGAAAAAGAAAATGAATTAGGTGCCTATGTAATTAATTATTGCAATTTTCGCCTTGGATACCTTCCGTTTCTGGGGCATTGTTCCTCGTAAAAGCCTATCAGTTGCATAACTGAAATAAAACAAAAGTGGCAAGGCAAAATTACAAGTAAATAGCTTAAAGAAATTAAGCCCCAATTTGCCTCATTTCGCCCTTATTATAGCCTTATTAAGGATTCCGTTTCCTTAGCATCGGATTGATTGTCAGACAACTGCTTTGTTCTTCACCTTACTCATTCGAATGAAAAATATACTCCCTTATGGGTCTTATAAATACCACCGGAAGAAGCATCCCAAATAGGGAACATTTGCGAAGGCAATTACTTTATCAAAGCCAATTGTTTGGTCTTCTTTGTTTTCTTTTTCACCACCAAATCCGCCCCCCCCCCCCCCCCCCCCCCACTCCCCCCCCCAAACACCAAACCACCCACCTTGTGCCTACGGTCGTAATACAGATATTACTAGTCTGCCATTTCGAATATTTACTTAACGGCATTTTTTGTTGGAAAATAATGAGCTTAAGCTCCATAACTCATGCCTGAGAAAAACTTTTCGTCGACCCAGGCTCATTCTAATCTTCATATCTTGACAGGACATGAGGAATAAGAAAATAATTCTTACGTCCAATTGGCGTTTCATCTACAGTCACAGGGAATGACCTTACATTTCATTGAATAAAACTTGAGTAGGCATAATAGGCATATTTGCCTATTGGGAAGGGAGTGTAACGAGGTTAACAAATTGAGAAAACTAACTGAATCATGCAACCTTGAGTCATATCTCAACACCTAATTTTACGTAAAGTAGGTCATGACTCAGTGAACTGTCCCGTTAAGTAGATAGATGACTTAATGTGTTAAAAAATACCTACTCATTTGATGGTCTGCCTTTATTCTCGAGGTAAACCTCTTCATTACTTATTCTATTACTTAATACTTTCCTATGATTATATAATTTCGTAAAGTTAAAACTTTCGTTGTGGGCAATGATAACAATAATGAAAATATTTCATACATCGTATTAAAATATATTATCTTAGACGAATGTCATAACTTTGGATTTACTTGGCAATATTATTATGGTAGTATAATTCATACTAATTTCAAATATTCACGTTCAACAATATGCCTGGATGATACAAGCGGCGTTTTCTGTTTAAATAAATATGCGAAAACAACGGTATCAGGATCTCAAAAGGAGGTCTACGTGGATGGTAAAAGACAGTAGACCAAATCACTGGCGTGCACGGGAAAATTGTACGGTGGATTAGTAATGACAAATCTGTTGTTGGCTGAATTTGGCCCCAGTGGCATATTCATTCTGTCCACGAGCCTCCTACGCTCGGGTTGTAACTTTAAGTCATCGCGTTCTTCAAAAAGAATCCTCATTTTGACAGGCATCGGTGGACTACAGGCACTAGCTCTTCTGACAATCGGTGCCGGTTTGTAGTTCTTGTTCAACGAACTAGTGCTTGTTCTTATTCGTCTAGGAGTGGAGGGAGGAGCATTCAAACGGAAGAGCCCCAGACACAGGATTCCAGTATCCTCAAGAGATTTGCAAAAGAGTGTTCCAAAAGCGATAGCTTGCATAGCACTTCCATAATTCTCCATAATTTTCATCAATTGTGGATCATTGAAACTTAACTGTGCAATAGTTGGTCGTTTCGTATTGTTTCTTCTTAGAGAGGCAAGAAATTCGTTAACGTGAACTTCTTCTGCATCAGTGAAATGGACGTTATCATAGAAGTCGCCACCATACACTGCCCACTGCTCTAGAACAGGTGTAGTTCCACCCGTAACCAAGTAACGAATAAGTGTCATAGCGTTTCTATCGAAATAGGCAGTGGATACAAGGGCATCCAATACAGATCCAGTGAAAGCTAATCCCCTGGCAAATGGGATTGTTAAGAAAATATCGATATCTGCCTTTCCAGTTTCAAAATCATCAGGATCTAGGAAGTGGATATTGGAATCCATACAGAGAGCTGTTAGAAGGGGTATTTCAGCCCCACTTGATCTTGCAGCAATATCATCACAAACGGATTGTCTCAAAGAAGGTGGAATCTTTAAGGCGCGAATGTTGAGGGAGCAGAGAATTGCCTCCTTGTCAAGCAAGTAGGGATCATCAGCTTGAGCGGTTTCTGAAACGCCAATGACAACACACACAGAGACTAGTTGAATCCTTGCAATCCATAGATCTCTGCGACTCAGTGGAGAACCAGGAAGGAAGTAAACTTCTGGAAAGTTTTCCAACTCATGCCACTCCTCGGAAATGAATTCATGAGAAGTGAGGAATACAATTGGACGGATTTGGCTGGCAGGAAGATTGCTGGCACGTAGGGGGAGGACAAAGGATCTTAGACCCAAACGTGGCGCCTTTTTGTCAGCCAGTAGACAAACAAGAATGTGATTTTGAAGAATTCTGCCAGCTTTTACATCGGAGATTCGACTCTCAATGTTACGATTATTAGGAAGGATTGCTTCGGATAGGGTCCGCTTTTGACACCAATAATACACACCTAAAGAGGGGGAAAGTTATAATAGATACATGAGACGGTTTAAGAAAATATTGCTTTGGGAAATGATATATAGCATTAAATGTGCATAATTTACAGTGATGTTCGTACGAAATCATACATACCTCTTTTACTTCAATTTCCTTCTTATTCCAAAGTGGACTTACAAAGACCTAATTCACTCGTTCATCTTATTGACAATTTAGCAGAAGTGACAATATTTGGCAAACTAGGAGACAATGCTAAAATTTCACTGCATTGAATTCTAACAGAGCGGTCTCTGAATAAGTTTTACCAAGTGAATGAGATGATACATTGTTAAATAATATTAAATTAATAAAAATAGTAATGAAAGCATTGTAACTATACAGTAAAAGTAACATTTTCATGAGGTAAACAGAAGCCGTGGTTATTGGTAAGTCCTAGACATATGTACGTGGGTGGATGAATGACATTTGAATGCATATGGGGGGTGACAATGCGACCTCACCTTGTGTTTTTTGTATGCGACCGTGTGGGAAGAAGAATGACTCAAAGATGCCCAACTCTTTCTTTTCATATTTATTTATTCCTAACAAATTTAGAGAGACAGATATCTAATTATCTCTTCAACTATATTGTCAATTCTCACCTGTAAATTTCATATTATTCTAATTGGAATGCACCCAGAAACTTAGATATTCTGAAACCATGATAAGTTTAAAATAACAAATAAGGATTAGGTCGTTGATATTATAAGAAAAGAAGAGTATGCTGCGATAATAACACAATGCTATGTGACTAAAATTCGGTCTTAAAATTGATGATATGAAATCTACTGTTATAATTATCACATCTCGGATTTACAAATATCGTTGAATTCCAATACTCTTAACCACTGAAGTGAACATTTTAAAACACAATTTTTAAAAGAATTAATTACCACTCTGTAGTGCTCAAACTTATCATCGGACAATCTCTGAAACTCCAGATACCACTATGAAAGAAACTCGTAACGCCTGCTTAGGAAGAGGGATGATATCTAGAAATTGCCCTCATAAGAGGTTCACATTCAACAATTCCTTTAGTTTAGCAGAAATGGTTAGTGGGATTGGTCTCCCACGTCATTCGTTGTACACCAGTGGGCACTGAGCTCGTGATAGATTGTTTAGCAGACGTGAACATTAATCACCACACTATCAACCCTCAGAGTATTTTATAATATTAATGAAAATCATACTGGTTATTGCCAACTGTTACTAGCTCCACTGACTGTCTTGATTAAGTCGACCGATACAGATAAAGAGAAAGAAGATTTCCTTCATTCTTTTACTCATAATCTTAAACGACTACTCGATTAGCCGGTTTTACTGCAATGAAGAGAATAAATTACTTTATACGAACATGAAGGGATGAAAATAAGAAACCCTAGCAGTTGAGGTAAGAATACGGTTCAAATAATTAGATTTCGTCATTATTAGCATACGTGCATGTTTTAAATTAGAGGCTCAAAATTTATCAATTGTATTAAATATACTAAGTTACTAAGGTGGTCTTGTCCACTGCAAGGAGATGTGCCAAGTTTCAAGCCGCCCCTACTTCATTAGTCAGCTGCCAAATATTTGTCTTTGCAGGAAAATGCCTTCCCATCAAGAAATGCAAATGTCATGGTTCAAAATTTGATCATTCTAAAACAGTCCTCTAACGCATTCCAATGAGATTAACTATGTTGCAAATTTGTTCAGTCAGAAGCAAGATTATATGAAACAAGAAAATCAGTAGATATTTTGTTGCATAGATTATGGTAATCCATCAGAAGCAGTGTAAAAACAGGTAGACAAAACATGTAGCCTTTCAAAATATCTAATATTAGCTAAATTAGTGGGGTGGAGATATGCAAATTTTCAGCTTGGCGTGGTGTTCAAACGCTAATAGACTTACGTATTAATAAATAATATAACCTCAGTAGTGTTACGAGTTTGAAAAGTCAACCATGCTTTACGATGCCAATTCCCATCGACCTTAGAATGCCCAACAACAATAGTGTAGCATTCTATGGAACTTGAAGTGCCTTCGCTGTAATTATTCAGTTGTCAATTCCCAGATTGCTATAAAAAATTCGCAAGAAATTATCGGCTCGGTTATGACTCGCGCTTATTTAAATTGTCATACAAGCACAAGCTGCAAGATAATAGGTGAAATTGATGAAAACTCATATATTCTTCCGTCTGATTGATCAACATTGAAAGTCTTTCTTTCTTCTTCTTCCCATCCACTGTTCTTGCTCAATATCATTAGTCTATCTCTAACACTCTTGTCATACTGATCTTGATCATTTATTTATTTATTTCAAATGGCTGGCGTTTCGATAGTTATAATTAGCTCTTTAGCTGTCTTCGGGCTACATAGAGAGGAGGAGGAATATCAATGTGACATAAAGTGGAGAGGGGGACAGAAGAATGATTTACAGATTTAAAAGAGACAGACAGACATAAAGGCAGGGAAAATGTAAGATTTGTACTGCGTAAGTGGTTGAATATGACATACAGTGGGGTCATGGTAGTTTGAAGTCAGAAACCAACTTCCAGTTAATAGACTTTTATGCTTATGAGTATACGTTGCCCAGGGTGCACCACGTGGAGGTTAGTTTATTGCGTACCCCAGGCATTGATCATTGATATAATTTAAGACTTTTGATGGCAAAAGGGGTTTATTTTAAGCTACAACATCCTTACTTGGGATTAGTGGTATTTTTTATGTACTTCAATTTATGGCTTGCTGCTATCTCTTCAGCTGCTTTTGCAATACAAAGAAGTACGTATGTCCGATTTAAAAGCTCCTGAAAGTCAGCTCATCCTTACCCTCGATGGCAGCAGTAACTGCCACTCATTTCACACTATCCCTATGATTTTGTGTGGGGGTATGCGATAGACTTACCTCCACATGGTGCACCCTGGGCAACGTATACTCATACGGCAAAAAGTCTATAAACCTTCAGTTGACTTCTCACTTCAAACTATCATCACCCCACTGTATGCCATATTCGACCACTGCCACAGTACTCGCCTCACCATTCATCTACCTTTGTGTTTGTCTCTTTTACATCTTGAAACACTCTTCTGTCCCCCCCCCTAAAAAACGTTTTCCACTTTGATGTTCCTTCTCCTCTGTAAAGCTTGAAGTCAACTAAAGGGCTAATGATAACTATCACAAAGCCGATTTTGTGTGCTTCGCTAAGATATGCCCGACAACACCCACCACCCAAAAGCTTCTGCCATCCTCCCATTAAAACGGCGCAAATCATAGGTAGAACAGAGCGCAGTTCAATAGGTAGTGAAGGGAAGTGAAATTAAAAAACTAACGCAAAGTTAGAATTAGATGAATGCTAATCCGAAGGGACAATTGTGCTTGAAGTACTCACAACTTATTATTTTAATTTTTGGGTTTTATTGTATATATAACTGAGTTACTTGGTTACTTGAAAGCTAACCTTATTTCAATTCATATGCCTACTGAACAAATAAAAACCCACCGGTAATATCGATTGTTTTATCCTCAATGTTTATTTGAATCGGTTTGTCGTTGTCATCGGAAAGGTCAAAAGTGGCCTTCGGTTTTGTACTTGTATGCGTAGATACTTGGCAACTCATTTTCCCTTTGCCAGTTGTGTTGAAGCCCATTGGAGAAGGAGGTACCATTCTACTATTCGGACGACTAGTTTCACTGATTTCTGCTGAAATTCGTTCTCGAAGATTGCGGAACCGCTTTTTGAAGTCATATTTCTGGCAAGCACATTTGTGAATCTGATTGTAGGATTTAACGTTTGCATGACACCGGATACAATACCAAGTTGCCCGACTGGCGATTTCCTGAAATAATAGAAAATTAAATTTTATGGTATTAGCTGGGCACATAAAATACTCAGAACGATGGAAACTCTAGTTATTGATGCTTTCATTGAACAGGAGCCTGTATAGATAGAAAACAGACTTCTGGAAGAAAAAATATCGAAGAACTTAAGCAACAAATAGTGAAATGCAAAATAGACCGTAAGCATTTTTCAAGTAAATTAACCAAAGTCATTTTGAATGAGACGTTCTGAAATCGTTCATTGTTTACTATCATGCACGTTGAAAAGAATTAGCAACTAAAATTAATCTTAAACAGTGGGTCATATCCAATGATAGGCGTCATTCCACTTATCGTGGATTTAGCAGTAGTCTCCGTTAAATTATCGGTGTTATGATACACACGAAGGAAATCGAATATGGAATTTCCTATGCGATTTCGGCTTCATCCCCTCCCCCCTCCATGCATGTATGATTGAAAGACTTAGGTAGTACTTTGGTTAATAAAGATGTTAGGGGAAACACCTAATGACGTGTCATTAAAGAGATGCTTTAAATGATGAAAATTTCTCAGAGATATCTACTCATCTATTTGGGCATGTACGAGAAATCATACCTTATACTTAAAGAAGGCTAATGCCGACGATCTTCTAAACACACGTTGGGAAAGATGAATAAGAAGAATAGGCACATCTTTTTATTATTGGTGTAGTCATAAGACAGCAATCATTTATTCATGTCGTCTTATTGTTATTGAATCATTGACAGACCGCGTATTTCAAGTGTTTATAGTGGGTTCCAATCAGAAGTGATAATGCTGATATTATTCATATTCCTTTGAACAAATTCAGAAATAATGTCATTTCCAGAAATTGTTTCAATATTCTGTACAAGCTTACTAACATCAGTATTAATATTATCAATAATGTTTATTGATATTAACAAACCTATGCAAGCTTTGAACTGCACCATAAACATGAAGATTGAGTGTATAACGAAATTTGGCAATAGTTTCAGGGCATTTTATTGTTAGAGAAGTTGACCCGATCAAGTAACCTAAGTAAAAGAATAGCGAACGATTACTATTGATGTATAAGCTCAGACAGACGCGTAGTCAGATAGGAACCTTCTTTCAACAGTGTTGACAGTTTTTAGTAGTTCTTAGTGCTTTAGAAAACTACTTTTTTTCCAAAGTGGCTTCCAATATTGTCTTGAACAAATAAAAGATGAAGAATTTATAACACTAAATATTGGCTTTATGACCCAAAAGTTAGCTTGGTTTTAGCGATCAATCTTAAAGTAGGAGTAGTTGTTAGACTCAACAAATGTGGCCATCCATAAAGTGGGGAAATTTAAATATAAATGGATTATACCTGCACACTGGTTCATAGGCTTATTCTTACCTCCTTTCAAACTATCACCTGCTCTTCTGTAAAAAAATAAAGTCGAATTCGATCAAGTGCATTAACGTATCTCTTTGCATGTTTTTATCACAGCCCAGATTGTCCTGCATCAGTACTGTCGCTTCCTTTCCCTTCTTCTTCGTAGCTTCTTAACATCCTGACTACTAATAATTTAAATCAATTTATTTACATATTAATAGATTTCTTTTGAACGGTACAAATATGCATACATGACCCTTGATTTCATATTCATAACTTATTCATAACCATTCATTTGCTATTTCTTAAAGCTCTACTGGAGCTCAGAATTATTTGAATGTCGCTTCCCATGCTCCTCGTGACTATCTGAACATGTAGTTCTTTAACGGTCAATTATCAATACGAATTGTTAGTTTGTTAAATTGGCTTGGAGGTTTATCTTTTAATCTTCCATTTTGTCTTCATGATTCTTAATGACAGTACACTTTAACTGTACTTTTTTTGCTCTGTTTTAGTAGTTTACTTGATACATGATAGTATCTGATAGTATACTTGATGTATATCTGAGCAAGTACGTAGAAGTATTTTCCGAAGAAGCAGTTTTACTATGGCTTTGGAGGTGGAATGGATGTTCGATCTGGAGTTAATCATCTTTCTTGTTCCACTGAATTTGCCATTAAAGGATTCACTTTTAGGTCTCACTAACACTTTTTTCTAAAACAACGGAGTCTTTGTTGTCCAGAGAGCAAGAAAATGTAGGTGCTTCAGTACTTATTCGTGTTATATTAGGAGAGCTGATGTAACGGGACGCCAATCACTAGCAGCTTCAGTTCACCGATGTGCATCAAGCTTAATTAAATCCCTACTCCATGTACAAGAAATTTTTATGATAATATTTTCATGGTTCTGATTCATTGACCTTAGTTCAACCATGAATTTTAACATTTCATCATTGGAATTTGAATGTCATTCTAATCTTAGCAAATACTTTAAATTTCACTTTCTTGATTAAAATTTGTTGAACCCAAATTGACATCGGTGGATTGCATGCCCTTGGGTATAAATTTCATTAATGACTTTAGTAGTAACTTTGCAGGGATTTAATCCCTGATCAAAGAATTGCGGTATGTAATGTCTGCCTGACGTGTTCTCGGTCGGCTTTTAATAGAACATTCTAACTCTTAATAATAAAATAAAATTTATTACGCTTGAATAAAGTTGAATAATTTGTTTGCAAAGGAACATTGACTTAGAGATTTGGTTCCTTCTTCGCGTCTTTTCACAAACTAACCCCAAACATCTGCTGGCAAAGTTTGCAATTTCCCATTGGTCACCCCCTAATATGTGCGTATCAGTGGTATATCACGAGTAAAGAAGTCCTTTCGAGTAAAGCCATAAACCGAAATACTGGACGATGACACAGCTAATTAAATGCTTATCAACTGAATGTCACTAACATGATATCAAATTATAATGAGTGCATATAAAAATAGTTTAACTTTTTCTGAGTATACCTAATAACTAATGATAAATTAGAAGTCCAACTCAATGAGAATTCGATTCAAGAGAATCAATACACCTTGTGTTATGAATCAATACCAATATATAAGTAACGGCCTTTTGTCTCCAAAACACAAAAATTCTGCAAATGTACTTGGAAACTTCATTTTCCCTATAAAAACTCACAAAAGCAACCATTTATTGCTAAGACGTTGACTATTAAGATATATTGCTCTGGTTACCTCAGTAGGTACAAATCTACCTGCTAATGAACATAAATAGTTGCACTTCAAGAGTGTATTAAGAATCAATACGTTAAGATAAAAGCGTGTTGACAATATTTATAGCACAATAGAAAGCATAGATTTCGAATTCTACTATTTTGAAGACACTGCTTCATGATCTGTTAGGATTACCTCCTCCGAATCTGATTGTTCTAAAGATAATTTGCTCTTTCTTTTCAGTTGGTCGTGCAGCCTTGAATTCGCAATAATAATGCAAGATTATACACTTGGCTGAGCAAACGCAAAGGGATGATTGGTTGGCAAATTGCAAGTTTACATGCATGTTGCTACCAATATGAGAATCTTCAAGCTGACTACAGTGAGTAGTCTTCTAGTATTTCTCAGTACTACCGCATCAAGTAGTATGACCAGTTTTGTTGCCATACATTGCGCGGCGTAAAGTAGTACATTAAATCCATCTATTCAGAAACAATAATTTGTCGGAATTTTTACGAAAAGCATTCACGGACCAGGGAAATTGAAGACACTTTTAGCCGCCCTTTAAACAAACTCATATTCTGTCCTTGGTCTTATTGACCAGTAGTAGTTTATGAATTAGGACATACACTTCACTCAGTTTACACCGTTTGACACCAATATTGTAATCTGTACCTTGATAGATGTGTGTCATGCGTACTCTATATTTACTGGTCAGTTAATGAAAATCGCCATAGAATGTCAAGAGTAAATTTGAATGCTACTTGTGATGCAAATACATGATTTCAGAATTAATGACAGCTCAAATATTTAGATTCGTATACAACTTGCCTCAAGTCACAGTATTTACAACATTTTGAGCGTACACAGCGTTAAATAATGTAATATTTACCTATGAAGATATCGAACAGCGTTCTAATCAATCAGTCTATTAATTGTTGTCTCCAAACTCAAAATAACCCTTGAATAGTGCATCATGGCAAGTGAATAAATTCGTGGTTGTGGAAGCGCTTTGGCGTAAAAGGTAATGAAAATATTAATGAAATGGAAAGATATCATACCCATCTATCTATTAGACACGGGAAGTGTTTTCAAAAGTTTTCTTACCTGTGAATCACAAATGAAGAATCCAATAGTTCTTTCATGTATAGTTGATTGGGGAGTTGAAGGTGGATTGATGGCTAAATATGGATATTGTCCTGCACCACCATCATTTTCTTCCTCTGCACTCTGAGCTAGGATTGCAATCAACATTAGCTCCAACTTCTCCATGCACAGCTTGGCCGCCTCTGCAAAAGTCATCCCATCAAAAGCCACTGAAAACCGAGCTGAATACAACTCCATACTCACTCCATGCAAGTACTCCGACAGCCATTGGGCATTCTGACCACCGAGATTATCAAGATTTGTCGCTGACGAAGTTCTAATACCTGCCTCAACGAAGCGTTGAGTGCTTTGATCGGTCTTTCCTCGAAAAATGGATGTGGTATAGAACTTGCGGAAGTTCTCAGTTAAACGAAGAGCCAAATTGGGCATAGACTGCAAGCGAACTCTAGGAACCTTGATGCCTTGATCTGGATCATTTCCTTCCACGGAAGGAGTAGAAGTAGTGAACGTCTGAGCAGACGTTACATGCATTGTCGCGTCTTCCATTGCTATTGCAGCTCCTGCTATCGAGTGCTGTCCGTGGAGAGAGCGCATTGAGAAGAGATTGGTAAGGAGAGTGGAGAATCCTGGTGCTAGACAGCTCTGGGCGAGAAAACCCAGCTTCAATTCGGAGAAGCACACGATCTCGTCACCTGCTTGCCAGTTCCATGTTGGAATATTCAGAAGATGAGACTAAATGTTTACGGATTTATATTACATTAACTGCAAAAAATTCTAAAAGTATCAGAGGATAATTATATATGTGTTTCCAATGCTGTTATCCAGGTTATCATTAAACCTGACTCATCGATTGTCCTCAAGTAGTTTTTTGGTTGGACTATCCTTAATTGAGTGTCAGTAGATTTAAATTTTCCCGATCAAGGATGTCCTGAATCATTCCACAGGTTTATGCTATTCCTTTTCTACGAGACCCAATATGGCTTTTCATTCATCTACTAACAAGGGTTTCTCCACTCTCCCGCACTTTTCACCCGTTTCAATCCCCTTAGATTCACCTCAACTCCTACTTATCTTAAGTGCTGTTACCCTAGGTGTGACACAAATCATAACTTTGTTTATTCTAGCTTCATAAGCACTGAGGTCCATTAGGCTATGATGGTATTTGGTCCCCATACAATGCCAGAAACTGACCCATCAGATAGCCTCAGTACGTGTAGATTAAACCATTTTGTGGTATGGTGAAAGTGATAATTAAGGCGACAATTATCGATTAAGCATTCAATTTTATCAAAATTAAAATGAAATTTAATAAATGAAACAGGCAAGCGATTCCATTGCTAGGAATGTACAATCTTAAATTACAAATAATCGATCTTCAAACCGTAAATAGAACATAACAAAGCAAAATATATTAAGCTACCACCTCTCAGATAAATATCATATTCAATTAAGTTATTTTATTTTTATTTGAAGAGATAACGCATTGAAGTACCAAGACCAATTCTTCCTGAATGAATTGTGAAGTGGACAAAGGTGTCATGGTTGAAGAATTAAATCCCATGAGCACTCAGGCAGACTCGAAGATGCGTTTGTGAGAGCAGAGAACTCTCAGCAATCCACCAATCAGTAGTCCGGACGTGGTTTAACAAACCCTTCATTGTATTTTAATGAATAAGCCCGTGACAAAAAACTCATTCTAAATGAACGGATTCATTGTCATACGTCTGCCCACTTAGTTATCATTCTAATGAACAAAGATGCTCTTTTTACGTGGCTTGAGACTGTTTCGAGAAAATCTAAAATAACAAAATGGACATACTTTGACCCCAAAGGGCCAAGTGACACCGTTTGGCTGTATCTACACTGTCTTCCTATAAAAAGAATGTAACCTGTCTCCTTGCCTACAGTTTTTCATTTTGATAGATAAATCTTAACCATCAGAATTCATTTTACTTGATATAAAACATTACAATAGAGATTGTGATAACTAAGCCAGTTCCGTCTTTCTGAGGTTCTAAATTTTTAAGCTATCCCATAAATTTTTTTTCAAATGAAGATATGATTTTTAGCTAGTAGAAGCCAAGTGCCAGTTGGAAATATAGTTCTATGAATGGTTGGACAAGTACGAATGGCTCTCATCTATCTAACAACTTTAATTTTTACTTAAAAACAAAGGCAATACTACTGTGTATTACCCTTTAAAATACTGACACTGGATTCGTTTGAATAGGCTTTCTAGCCATCTATTTAGTCACATGATATGACAAGTGAGTACTGTCTGAAAGTGAAGTGTGATTTGAGTAATCTATTGAGATTTAGTTTGAGAAAGGTGCTGTCCATTGCTACCTTACAGATATGGGCCAACACATTTGTGATAATTCAAAATCCTTTGGGTCCAAGTCCATGACAAACTTCGAGGTATTTTAGTAGTTAATGTTAAGTTCGAATAAAATTTCATAAGTCACGTAAAAAAACCTTGATAAAACTTGCATTATATAGTGCAAAGGAACCCCCTCCCTCAGTTACATTAACATTGGAAAGTCGCTTTCTACCACCCGTGATGCTAACAAGCATTAAACAATACTTTTGGCCATATACATAACCGATTATCGATATCATGACCTCTGACTACGCAGATGTCGTCGTTAAACTCTGCTTCGGCACTGCGCATACATTATTCTTACCTTACGATGAAATGTAATACTAAATGTGACTCTAATTGCACTTCCCATAATACATATGGTTATTAACGAATTCGGATATATTGATGACTTACTTTATTGCATTGCTGAAGCAACTGGACAATGACACGGACATTGCTTGCATAGTTCTTAACGGACACCACTCGCATTATATTTGCAGCATCTTCTTGGGCTGGATCTGCAGCGCGACTGTCAGCCAAAATGAGGCAGGCGTCTGCATGCGTCATGTCCACTCGTTCAAGGTCAATGTGATTCATCACTGTACCCTATTAATTAACAGATTTTCCTTTAATCACGAGACGAAATCAATGCATTAATTGTTATTTGAAATAATGCCTTTTCAGAGAACTATAATGATGAACTACAGTAATTAGTCAGAGAAGAGGCTCAGTTACTAATTAGTTATCGGAAGTGCTAAACGACCCCCCCCCCCAGGAGACTCTATTTAATACAGTTTCCAAATGCGTAACAGGAAAATAAAAGTGAATGAAAAATATTTCGTAGATTCAGTAAAATTTTAAGAGACAAAATAAAGGGACTTAAAAACGAACTTAAATTAAATTGATTACTGGATTTGACAATTTGTACTTTTGCACAAATGAATCTCACATTAAAGTCCATTTGGACTTTCATTCCTAGTACAACCAAGTAGTTTCCATATAAATAATTTATTTTATAACCAATCTCAGGAAAGTCTCTGCTCAAATTCGTAAAAGTTCCCCAGTCATTAAAATAGTAGAAGACGTGATTGAACCAAAAGTTACATTATTCATAACGTACTCTGAATATATTGGTAGTGAAAAATAAGTAAGAGAAGAATAACAAATTTTATTGATTTGACACGAGGCTCAAGACTCACCAAAAATTCCTAGTCAGGGTGTCAAAAGCATTTTATCTACAGGACTTAAATTAGCTCTTGCTTTAATCTGTCAGTGGTTAAATAATTGTTTATATGACTAAACCTGTAACAGACTACATACTGTACATAGTTCTGTAAAATTTGCGTATGTATACTATTATAAATAAAGTATTTTTAAAAAAGGATGAAGATTAAGAAGTGAAATATGAGAGAAACCGAATTATTCACGCAAATTTCTATCTTAGAACCTATATAAGCTCTAACCGATGATAATTAGTCTAGCAACGGAGGTTAACCATGGTGAAGCCAACGCAATGCACAGGGTGGACCAATTTTGAAGCCCACTTGGTATTGATCGCTATCAAATGAAGTGGAGTGGGGTGAATATGAGGCAAGTGACCGCCTTTGTGTTTCCTCTCATTCATTCCATCCTATGAAAGCTTTATAGACTTTTATTTTGTTTCATGTTGTTTGCATGGCTTATCTATGTGATGTGCTTCAATTGAGATATGTTTGGATCCACATATATGTCTGGACTTTCGGTTTTTATGTCATTTCCAACAGTATCCTGTGGCTCTCTGAGCTAGGAGTTCAAAAATCATCCACTGTGGCCAGAAAACGGATTATGCAATCCTATGGTATCCCTCAAGCTTAGTGCGATTTTTTGGTTCTTTCAAATTCTAGGGGTAATTGTTGCTCCTTCTGTGGAAAATTTGTTCAAGCTTCCCAAAAATATGTTTGGATTTTCTCTTTTTTATTTGTGCTTTCATAAAATTCATTCTTTCTTCGATAAATAAGTTGGAAAAAAACGAATTCATCTTACTCCCAGTGGCCGAGGAAAGTTATTTTACTTAATTTTAACGCAAATAACCTGTAAGAATTCCATGAATCGATGTTATTTAATATTTTTCGATACGATTTATTTGTTCTCATTCAAAATGTCAGCTTTTTTAACTTTCCTCTATCAATACCAAAATCCTTCCGTAATTGTGACTAAAACTGTAATATTCTTCTTATCGCTCTTTGTCCTTTAGAAATGTACCCCGATTCCTCACAGACGCACATATGCTGCCTTATTTTCTCCATGATTGAATACTGACTTCATTTCCGATGGTAAGTATTAAGCAGAATGTAAGTTATAGAGACAAAAATGCTGTTTTAAATGAATATGTCACTGCAATTTGACTCGAGTAAAGTTTTTTTAGTAAACGTCTCCAGCTGATGTTCAGACTCTAATTGTATTAATAGATAGGTTAGTTGTGTGACCAAAAACATTATTAAAACACTCTTTTTTTGCTGGTAACACTGCGTAGGTGATTTTGGACAACTGTGAATAAAAAGCTACGCCAGACGTCTGCAACTTAATTTAGAACAAAAGGCTTTGAATTACGTTATTTAGCTTAACCTTCAAATAGGCTTTTCACAGATCGTCAATAAATAATGGTAGTGGGGCGCACAACCATAAGGCACGATTAAAAGTAAATGGCAAAGGTGGAAAGATGTTCTCCCAGGACAACTGCTATTTCTCCTGGTTGAGCACCATCGTAACTCCTCGCGGTGATCTTAGAAATATACTAAAGGTTAATGTTGACAGATCCCTTTATTTCCATTTTTTTAATTGACAACCAATTGGATCTTTTTCTCTTTCAGTTTGACTTATTAGCATGACTATCAGCTATTCATTCCGATATTGTTCCTATTTGGGAGTTGGCTAGAAATTACCGTGTTTGCGTCAGTTTGTTAAATACGTTTATAGGGGGTTCGTCCTGGTGTAAATGAAATAAATTGTGATGTAATATTTCAGCAGTTTTGGAGGCCGGAAAGGAATTCTTGAAAACACTGCAATTAAAATTTATAACTCGGATTGAATTTTTTAAATAATTACCCCATGTTATTGCTGCCCAGTCAGTAAATTAACAAGACAATTTAATTCACACGCCCTCAATTATCACATTCCGTGAAGGTAATAAAACACAGAGGAGGAATTAATAAACTTAACTTGCTAAAATTTAAGGCTAAACGTTTGTGCTGCATTTGTTATCTCTTCCATTGTTCAAACAATGAAAATTTCTTTTCAAATAAAAACTAATTTTAAAACGATATTCCTGTTTATTTGCTTTTTCCTAGATTTAGCATTTGAAATCAATCACTAAGAAAACTGACAATGCGGCGTCTTGTTATAATTCGGCTATGGGGGGGGGGAGGGCATATAGTCTTGGAGCTAATTGGGAAAAAAATACTTGGCTCTGACTCCGTCAAAGTTGTTAAAATAAGAAAAGGAAAGAACGCACTAGACTTTTTATCCTGTCGAAAATGATGATATGTCCCTCTTTACATACCGCTCACAACTACCATTTCTACGTGTATTCTGTTTGTTGTCTAAATTTTTATTCGTCATTTGTCTAGCCATTAGGAAATAATGCGAAGATACATTAATAGGCAAGATCTTCAATTTGCCAATCAGAACCTCTGAAATTAACCATACGGTTTTTATTTAAATTAATAAACGGAAAAAAATGCCCTGAAATCTCGGAAAATCTGCGCCGAAGTTCAAGAAGGTGAGATATGTCAACATTACGAATTGTGGTAGAGAAGATAAATAAGCAATTCGGAACCCTATGGATAAATTTCGTTAGACTCATTTCATGCTTCGAGTTTCATTTCTAGTTGACGCACGTCTCTTGCGCCACTTCTAGTTGCTTAATTATTTCTTATATACGATTTTTTTCTCGCGACGAAAACTAGCATGTATTTTTTTGCACCTTTTGGTTAGTAATTGATGTGTTGCGGTTAATAATAATTGGAAACCTCGAATTGCTTCACTTATCATGCAAATGAAGTCCTTATTTTTAAGCGGTTTCTCACAAATCGTGTGTTTTGAAAGTGAAGACAACTTTGTATCTCAATAAAAGTTCATATAAATCTTAACGAAGATAATGCATTGTTTTGATATTTATAAAATAGCAAATGTTTCTACCACGGTTATTTCACATGAATATAAAGGCTACCTGAATGTTTTGCTGGGTAACCTTTATGGAAAACACTTGGGAATTAATACGAGAAAATGAAGGTGGAATTCTCCCTTAATTACTTTTAAACTAAATTTTTACAAAGAGTAGTTTTATGTAATTTGAGCAATTAAAGCATTACAAGAAGATGCAGTGGACATCATTTTTCATGAATGGTTGCTCAATCGTCTGAAACCAAGAATCAAATTACATTTTATTCCTCAAATTCGCACTTTCGACTCCTCGCTCCCCCCACACCTCCGATAACTTCTAATTGGACAATTTAATTCTTTCGTATTCTAGATTGCTTTTAAATAATAAAAATATGCATGTGAAATTTTTGTCTTGTCGAAGGCATTTACACCTTCCTAATAAACAAAAAGGAAATCATTAATTTAGGAACAAAGAACATAAGAACTAGGTTAGTTCCACAATGCTAAAACTATCATTATTATTCCGTCTTTTAACCTATTTGAGCAACACTTAATAGAATGACTAGACCGATCATTATCGCCAAAAACTTATCAATGGTGCCCATGGTAGAAAAGAGGCAGCTTCATAATCCAGGGTATAAATTATGAAGTTCAAACTTTGTAAAGGGTACTGATAACTATTAAATGCAAGGTTAATCTAAATGCAATTAAAGAAGACCTTATTTAAACTATAACTTGACTCGCAGTTCGTTTGACCTCTCCCAACTCCATCCACCCCCCTGTATCGTTCAATAAACTTATTATTTGCCACATTCAATTTTTATTCCAGTTCGAAGATTTCTGAATTTCGGAATACAACGGCAGTTTATAATAGAATGTTAAGAATCTGGATGCTATTTCACTAATACTTTGCAAGTACTCTTCTTGTTCATCAGCTCTATCTATTAACCAAATAGTTTTTAAAGCGCTTTGTTTGAATGATTAAATTAGGGCGATAGTAACGTAACTATTGACCAAACGTTTAAGCTGAAATTAAAAATCAATTTGGTAGTGATGATTGGTTCATTCATATACATTAAGGCACTCAAACTTCAAAATCCATTGTTACAAAATTGTAGGTGGTGGAACTGTGATGACTTGATTCGTGGTGACAAGTGCGTTATTTAATCTACTTCTCTTGGAGATGAGATTTACTTACCGATTAAGTTTAGTTGAATGCCAATAAAATATCTCATGCGAATAAAGGCAGGATCAATAAATTGAATTTGAAGCGAAAGAAGAACTGTAAATCCACTGATGAAAACATAATTCGAATGAGGTAAGAAATTTTATTTCTATGAATTTTATGCTCAGTTTCTAAGCGAATTTCAATTAGGAACCACTAATCCATTCTCTCATTGTATAAGGGTTTCCCATTATCAAAACGTGTAGTTCTTCGTTTTATAACATATTCTAACGGTAGTTAATTGTGATTATTTAGGATCACTATATTGAAACGCCGAAGTCCAATGTTATTTTTGTTATGTTGAAAGTGGTTCCGATTATTAAAGTATCTGCCACGGCTAACTAACTTAATTTAATAGTGAATCATAATAAATAGAAGTGAAAATCTATAAAGTTATCATAGTGAACACAATTTGACTTCTTCAAAAAATTATAATAGAAGACATCTGACCATAGGCAATTTTATGAATAGTATATTAAAATAGAAGTTTTTGCTTGATTTTATATTAGATGCTCATTAGTTTACTTGGGCTATCAGTGAAGTACAATTTATATTGTTCATTTTTACCACTACTGATATTTTTTCAGCCATAGTGAGAGCAATGTTAAAATTCAAATTGGAAGAGCGTTAAAGAATAACATCAGCTACTAATTAGGAATGCCACAGAGATAAGGTCTTTGTGTTCCAATGGAAGCAAGTGAACATATCTCTGGATTTATTATAATTGCTGACATGCAGGTACGTATAGCGTGATTGCTGAAGACGTTTGGTGTAGCGCCATTTTGCGCTGAATCATCAAATAGAAAGATAAGATTAACTATTTCATATTAACAAAACATAGCGTTTCCTGGAAATCACGAAGCAGCTAGGGCAAATTGGATGAAATAACTTACAGGTTTACTTAAAGCCTAATTTATTGTCTCATCTTATTTGTATATAATATTAGAAGTTTTTCTGTTATATAAACGATAGAGGTACCATGAAAAACGGGTATTATTGGATGAAACAATAGATTCATTAGTGGATTAAAAGTCGCCTCGAGATTTCAATTCATTACAATTATAGTATTTTTGTCTTTTACGGCCAACCCTCATCTCCATATTTATGTTCTGTCACACTGAATAACATGTATGTATTTCAGATGCGAATTTTTCAAACAGGACCTCTGATATCCAGAAGGTGACTTGAATATATGCCATGTTTTACCTAAAATGAATTGAAGTTCCTCAGTAAGAATTATTGGACAACAACTAACATGTTCTATTTTAAATTGAGGAGGATAATCTGATCGAAAATCTTTAATGACAACTTTCTATTTGCCATTCTTTCGTATAACCATCTACAGTAAATGATTTTTTAAATTCCTATGAATAATCCACCACAATAAAAGTAAAAAATTAGACAAGTTATCTGGCTTTTAGCAAATTAAATTACTATCAAGTATATTTGAATAAATCAGTCGCTGATATATATATATATATATATGTATGATGACATAACCATCTAAACGTCACGATAGATCACTCTGATGAAACATACATTTCCATTAAAAAGTCATTGTCCTGATAAGATGAATCAGGAGGACTGACTAGACACGAAAAGGGCAAAACGGATAAAAATATATGGTTGCATACACGTCAAACTCAGGAAAGACAAAGCATGGAATACATACTCATAAAAAATTTAAATAAACCAGTCAGACTAAATAAAGACTACAATGGAAAGGTTACAAATATTTTTTCCGCAGTTGCCACCAAATGCCTTCCTTCGAAGCATAAAGTAAAAGCAAAGTACCCTTAATTCAAAAACGCATAAAATGTGATAAATTAATGCAATAAACCTATGACGATTGTCCCATCAACTACGAGAACATCTTAACTAAACTCAAATCTCAATGGAAAGTCATATAAATGGACGCCTTGAAGCCAGTAAACGGATTAGGGCGTACACAAACACTCAGAGAGTGGAGAGAGAGGGAATGGAGTGAATACTCGATCGAGGATATGAGGAAGAGCTCTTATTTAAAGTACATGACATACAATAGCTTAGTCAAGGGAACTTATACCAATTCGCTTAATAGCTAGTTCGCGCCAGTATTATGATTTCAAAGTGAGCCCAAGTTTCAATATTTGAGGAAGTGGCAACTTGCAACTTCCGGAAAGCTGCTGCTGTCTGCAAAAAACATATAGTTAAAGTTGTAACCAAAGCTTTGGTTGTAACCAAGTTGTAACCATCTAACAGCCCTGGTAATATAAGTATCCCAATCTCGATAAGAATTATATAATATTCAATATTCTGGTAGAATTATATAAAATAGTAATTAGCTTCAGTGGAATTTTTACATGTGCACAGGGCCTGACCAATTACTTACCACGGTCGCATGCACTTCTTAAAATTATCCATTACATTTCGATGCAAAATGGGCAAAAGCATATTTGAAATGAGCAAGGTAACTAATTGAGCAAGTTTAATCCAAAACGTTGTAGAATTTGAATCAAAAGATTGAAAATAAATGCAAGGGAATGTAGAAACACGGTACCAGATAAAATGAACTAGAAAATAGGGAAATCGAATTACCACTGAAGTTGACAACTTTACATAATTTAAAGACAGGCATTGACTTTATAGTAAGCGAAGATAACAATTAGAATAGCAAAACATGAACTATTTCGAGGGCTCCATGGATCAGCTCAGTGAAATTATAATTAATAAATTAATAGGAAAACATTTTTTCACTGCAAATTATATAACTCTGATCAATCATAGGATGTATAACGAATGTAATCATAAAATGACACATACCTCGAGATATTTCACTCTTGAAAAGTGCCGTCGAAGCAAGCTCTTTAGCCTCAAGTCTGGCTTCGATCGGTTCATGAATACAACTTCTACATCTGTTCGCCTTCGATCAGGATGGAGAAAGTCGTCAAGGAAGTGTTTCACGGATTCTGTTGTCACATCACCACAGACAACAACATGTCGCTTTCCCGGCCGAGATAAGTATTTTCCATTATATTTACTGGTGTTGAGAAACATTTCAACGATTTCAGGGATGCAGTAGGCGAAGGCTGCGAGAGCGCAGAGTATGAAAACAGATGTGAAGAAGCGACCGAGAGTAGTTTGTGGAGTTATATCACCATAACCGACTGTTGACATGGTTACAATAGCAAAGTAGAGGCATTCTAGATAGGTGAGACGATGAGCATTGCCATATGGTGGGGATGCAAAAGGATCGCCCGTATTTTCCAGTAGGTAGATCATTCCAGCACCTATTGGAAAATAAATTGCCAGCAAAAAATGCTACAATATTTACATTTTTAATTGTCATGAAATGGCGAAACGTTCATATATTTTAATTGTCCTTTCTAAATTGGACGCAAACCGTTTATGACACTTTTAAGGAAGCAAGAAAAAAATTTTGCTCCATGTAATTTATTACCTGAGATTAGGTTCCATTTTCCGTTGAAAGTAAGCTTAGAAACCCAAGTAAATTAATTTATTTCAATCCTCGGTGGGTACGTAATGACGGCACGCAAAATATGTTTTCACTTGACGGCAAAGTATCCTTTCATAGGTTAGGATTAGATTGAGTTTCCACTTAGATTAAATGAATAATTTTATTAAAGAAAGAAATTAAAATTTGATGTTATTTATTTTTAACATTAGCATATTTGTTTAAGTGTGCTAAATAGCATGACCGTTTCTACGGTGAATTTCGCAATAAAGTCTACCAATATCGCACTTACGTGATATTGTTCAGTTCCAAATTGGTGGTTATTCTGAGGGGCTAAATATGGTGCATCACAGTGTCTGGTAAATTGGGTTAATTCGCAGTTACTTATGAACGACTTTTACCATCACAAATCTACCAAGATTAATTTCCTAGAACATTTCAGCTGGCCTTGAGAAAGTACAGTCTACTGTTTGATGAATAAATGTTACCAATAATTTACTGTGTGCTTTATTTTCTTTATAAGCACAAAATTAACTTTGGTGTTGGTCATTCTCGAGGTAAATTACAAAATAAAGTAACCTGCTTACGTAGTATCTTTGTATCTATTGCTTAAATACTTTGGGTAGTCAAATGAGAAATATTTGATGACCAAAAGGAAGTTTTTGATACTTTCTTCTTCTTTTAGCAAAATAAGAGTTAATTAGAGGGTGAAATACTAAGAATTGTTGCAACATACACAAACTGTCACCATCATTAAGTCGTTTGAGAGTATCTGAGTAGAAGTAATCAGTGAACAGATTCTAGAAAGTTTTCCCATGAGTACTTTTGTAATGAGTGTTGCCCAATGTTAATGGGTTTGTCTCAAAGCCCTGAATTATCTCAAACCAAGGAGTTAAAATATCATTGTTCAAAGCCGAATTAATCTAAGCTTTCAGGTTGAGACTGAGATTGCAAATAATGCAAAATTAAAATTTCTTTCTCGATTTTATGTTCTTTTCTTGAAGTTTAGAATGTTGGGTTGCTTCAAATTATTTATTTCTTGCTTATGAAAAAGGAGTATTGTATAGTAGAATTGCTTTCAGTGTATTTGATCATTTTTGTGACGTTTATACCCATGAGCAGAAATCAACAGGGAGGGATAATTGAATTAATTTAAACAAAAATGCCTCTATGTTTATTTTGAAAGAAGATCCTCGTAGACGTCGTAAAACTGAAGCGCACAATAAATTCAGTTTGGCATTTGCTGCCGGTGGACCTTAAAGAATGCATTGAATGATAAGATACGCAAATTTAAAGAATCACTTGCCAAGCTGGGAACTCAACTGCGTAGTCTGTAGTCTTGCATTTTACGCCGTCGGTTGTTAAAATCGGATAAAATGTCCTAGTAAATTGTTTGAAGAAATTCGAGTTACACATTACAAAACCACAAAGTGGGAGATGATCAAATAGAAAGATAAAGTAACTAACGCGAGATGATATTTACATCACACTCTGTTTAAAACGTCGAATCTGCCCCATCTATTTAGTTTTCTTTATTAGGGACATTATTAAATAATTAGAGCTCATTTAGGGAGAGATAAAATGGAATGAAAACTTACTCCAAATAGAAGTTCTTTTAGCTGGCAATTAACTTGCTTCTAATATTTGAAATAATGCGATTGTTTATTGATTGATCATAATGATGAAGGTAAAGGCAAGCAGTACCCTTGAAGTCAGTCCTTCAATTTTAGGGTTTACATTTGTTCATACTTTTCATAACCTCGATTACGTCCAGTGCACTAGAACTATGTCCTTGATTGATGAAATGACAGTGTATTAAAATAGAACTGTTTTCGGTTCATATAAACAATGTTTCACTATTCACGACATAAATGTGTCTTACCTGCCAGCCAAATCGCGAGGAAGAAGGAGCTCAACTGGCATAGTCGCAGCGCAGAAGCAGATTTAATGATGTTCAAGTTATGCAATACTTCAGCTAGATTGAAGAGCCTGAAGATACGCATAAAACGAAGACCCATCCATGTTCTCTTAAGTGCAAATGCCAGTAAACACGGAGGTACCGTACAATAGTCTAGGAGGGAGAACGGATCTACCCAGAAGATGAGTTTATTATCAGAGGCAGCCCAACGTATAAGAAAGTGAAGTAGAAAGAAGAGATTGAAGAGAAAATCCAGAAGACGATGTCTTCGACCCTTGTGGCCGCATTTCTCTATCTCGTTTGGCCATTGACTTGCCTCTGATACGTAAATCCCGAAAGATGCAAGTGAAAGCAGCATTGATAGTGCTATGAAAGTTCGGCCAGGGATGTATTGATAACTCAGTAGACGTATAGCTGATCCTCGAACGCACTTCCGCAACCATTTATATCCTTGGGAAAGAATCAGGAGGAATTAGTTTTTCAAACCGGTTGTCGATTTCATTAGAAAATAATAACTTTTCTAGGATAGGTGTACTATATGTTTACCGGGGTAATTGATTTATGCATAATGCAATTCTAGCATTCAAACACACATACTCACAGCTTTACATCGTTCCGTCTAAAAGATGTTAATTTTTCTTATGTTCATAAAAAATCAAAATTTCAAAAACGGCCACCCCAACCTGATTTGCCCTAATTCTTTTGGAAATAATACAAATTTTGCTCGTTTAGTATTTCCGTCTTTCCTTTCCAATCCCAAATCCCATCTCCAGCTCACCTATTTTCTCTCCACACATCTTCAAATCTTTGCATAATTTGCATGGTGTAATTCAAATCTGGAGTTTCATGTTTGGGAATGACCGTTTTATCCTGATAGTCAATGTAAAGATATCCAAATTTGTGAGAGATATCCTTCAGTCTAATCTTGACAACATTCTAAATTAATTCTACTGGTAAATTTGTGCTAATTTATAATTAATTGTAGCATGCCTGAACGAATTCGCCTCCATTCTAAAATTTAATCTTCCAAAATTGTCTTTCTTTTTTATCAAAACTCTGTTTGAATTTCTCCATATTTTTTTCCTATTAGCTTAGTTAATTTTCCGTAATTTGAGAATATAAAAGAAGAATAAGTTAATTTTATTAAATAATAATTTTCAGCTTTAGCTATACATTCACTTTGACCATATCTTTAACTAGAATTGTAATTCGAAGCTTGGATTCCTTCCATAAAACTTGGCTGATGTTTGGTACTTGCACGCTTAAATAAGATCATCAGTTACTAAATAAAAATTTGTATTTACGCGGAAAAATAAATTTAATCTATTGAAATCATATCATTCCATCATTTTCTTGTGAATTAAATTTATTAAAATCTGTGATATTTGGTTCGTATAAACAGTCGAAAATATCCAAAAAGGATGTTTCTATCTGGGGATTTAAAGGAAAATTCTAAGAGGAACTAATAAGATCGACCAGTAAAATTGATTAGCTGCACAGAACGAATTCCATCAGCAGTTTAGAGGTTGGATATTGGAATTTGGGTTTTGAAAAATGAACCAGTAAAGTGTAAATTAAGTCAATTATTTCTCAAAGTTTATTTGTTAATTAACAAAATTGGGAAGGAAAACTATTATGATATTTGTTCTCTGCAGAACTAAAAGACAACGTGGGCACGTTAAATTGACAAATTGAATAAAATAACAAGTAAAATAGTATTTACATAGCCTGTTGTGAGAAAATATTTTAGACGTACTATCTCTAATGATCTAATTATTTCCGAAGGAATGAAATATCCTTAAAACGGTTAAATTTGACACTCAATGACATGTCTGTTTTTGACAAATAATCGATTATCGTTAGGAAAAATTGCAAAAATTTTCTAAGTATTTTTTTACGACTCGGAAAAAGCTGTCTTATTTTATTGCTATATAGTATGAGTAATTGACCTAAGCGTGATGACTACTTATTAATAGATTTGAACAAATACAAAAAATAGATATTTTAAAACTTCAAGATTTGGATTTTAGCAGAATGGAAAGAAAATAGTAGCAAAGCGATTTGTTTTAAATTACCACGGATTAATATCATTTCGAATAAATCTAACATTTGAGGGAACTAGTAGATTACAATACCATTGTTTCCGAGAAAAGGGTAGAGCCAAGAGTAAACAGATTTTAGCACTTTTTAATGAACAATGATATTCACTAAACTTTCCTTACTAAGCTTCAATTAAATTATCCCAAAGTGAGTATGCCTTAAATTTAGCCATTCACTCTAATAAAATCTGCGTTCAAGAAAAATGTCGACATATCAAACAAACAGTTTTCTGTTGTAAGGTGAAACAGACTGTGGCTGTAATCTCACCAACCAGAAAGAAATCGCTTAGCTAAAAGCAGGTAAAAATGAGCATCCAGCGGCCTTCGAAAGTTTCAAATTACAAATTTTCTCAAAGGCATAGTCTCAAGGTGCTGGAAAGCGTATTGTAAATTTTGTTACGCTTTCCTTACACCTGCATAGAACTCACGTTTTAGATCCACCTTTCTATCCTTTACACTTCTAAACTCCATACTGCCTTTTTAGAACTGAAAAAATAAGTTTCTTAATTTAAGTCATTTGGTAACATCGGCATTGAAGATTATATAAACTTTATTATACTATTTGATAAGTCCCATTAACTTGCCATATATTTGAACGACGTTTGAGTTATGAACTAAAATTGATAGTAAAATTTATATTTAGAGTAAAAATGAAGATCTCTCATAAACCAGGCTTTTCTTACAAAATGTACAATTTAAAAATCAATGTTATATTTAACAATTTCCAACCATTTTTCGTTATACAACCAGGTAAATTTTTAGGAGCCCAGTTCTAGGACATTTCAAACAGAAAGTACAAGTAAACGCATTTGGAATAATGCCGAATGCCTGTCTACATTTTTCAACCTTGGTTGCAAAGAGCAGTGACCTCGACTAAATGCCAGTCCTTAAAATTGGCCCTTTATTGAGGTATAAATATACATATATTCAGGGTTAAAGCCACTGAATTTCGCTTATGCTTGAATAAATAAATGTGCTATAGAGGAATGCTTAAACCGTTAATACTATTCAAATGCATCTACACATGGTTCAGAAAGATGTAAATGAAATTACCGCCCAATAATCTTAAAAAGTTTGCAAGCTTATACTGGAGACACAAACATAATAAAACTCAGATATTGTAATAGCAAAATTTGCCTTGGGTGTTATATTGTGTACTAGTCCTCTTAAGATAATTTTGGTTACAGAACCATTTAGAAATTCAAATATTTCACAACGCTTCATCAGAGCAGGATTTTTGGCTCTCATACTGGACTAGTTTGCCATTAAGCACGGTTCAGTTACTCTCATATGGTTAAGAGGTTGATGTCTGTCTACACTGCAGTGGAAAATATGAAATTTGAAATGCTTCACGATAATATAACTCGAAATTTATTTCTGAAGAAATATTTTCAAACTTGAGAATTTTATGACAAAATTTCATAAAGTAAAGAGAACGCAATGAATGAGTTTTATCATAAAACTGTACAGATCCGAGAAATTCTGCCACTCAATTGACAATAACGTTACTTTATATTCAACTTAGAAACTCTTTACATCAGAGCTAACATTTCATGTGAGACGTTTAGTGGAATGAATGCGCTAACTTTTTATTTCAATCCATTTACAAAAAATAACTTAAAGTATTTTAATTTTCGAACTTCTTTTCATTTATCAGATGGAAAAATAGTGAAAGGTTTATAAAGAGGCTTGAGATCACTTCTAAACAGATCCTGAAAAAAGACAATCAAATGTAGAAATTAACATCTGTAAGCAAAATTAAAAGAAAGGCGTATCAGCTAGAAGTTTCTTCATTATTTAAATAAATAATTCATCAAATGTTCAAGAAGTTTTAGAATTGCGTGTCACAGTCCACTTGCAGAAGTGTAACCACCATTATGAGAATGGTAAAATCATTAAGTCATTGAAAATTATCCAGCACCGAGAAAGGATTTTTTCATGCTCTGTGACGAATTTAATTTGGTTTTTAAACTTCGACATTGCAAAATTGCAGACGAATAAAAAAATTTGCATTTGAGAACCGTCATTTCTAAATCCTTTACGTAAATCAAGATAGACTAGTATAACTAAAGAAAAGACTAATAACTTCTGAAAACGGGAACAATTTTTGAATAAAGCGGGCTAAACACTATTTTGATCATGAAGAGAGTGTTGGTTGTGGGACCTAACTACTAAATTTTGCAATACACTCTTGCATTTTTGGGGTAAATATGATTACGAGAGACAAACACCACAAGTTCCAGTTATATCCCCTATGGTACATCGAAAGTTTTACCTGATTTAATATTCCTGTTTATGCCTTTATATACTGGATTCAATGAAAAGTAAGACTAATCAAGCCATGTATGCCAATAATGCTTACTTTGCTATTGAATATATATTTAAATGCTATGGCAACTGCCGACCTATAATTTCAAATTTGATGGGTACACAGTTGTCTCTAATTATATAGTGCAAGCATATAGGCGTTTGTAACGAATTATTTTAATACAAATGAAATTAAGGGCGAATTTAACCTACGATTTAAACAAACGCGAATATTTAAAAAAAACAAGATGAATTTCTGGACGTAGTCATGGACCCAATTTATAGTCACTGCATTGACAAACCTAACTCACCAACATAAGGCTAACTTTCTTTCAACGAAGATGAAAATGCTTATATAAATTATATATTATAGTATTTCGGTCTAATGAGGCTTCATTCATAAAAATAAGTACGAATGAACAGTGGCAAAATAATCCGATGTTTGAGAGGTAAGTTTTGAGAGAATTATATTTCAATGTTATTCTCCTTATAAGAAAAGTATGCCTTAATGGTTTCTGTAGACGAATAAAACACGCAAAATCTGTTACCTCGCTTGTTTTACCTAAAAGTGCTCAATTTACCTCAACACAGGTTCCATTCACTACACGTTGTTCCTTCTCCCGTTTCTAAATTCCTATTTCAAATTCTTCTTCCTATTCTTTTGAATTGTCACTGTTACCTGATAGCCTATAGAGGATTATTGATTCTTAAGAGGGTATTTCTAGTTTCAAATCTTTGAGAAATTTGAAGTAGTCTAACTGAGGGGACTGGATGAAGTTTTTCTTTCACTTTCGAGTATTTTTGGTTAATTTAAAATGACAGTCCTTTCTCACTACCTGAACTCCATAGTGCTATCAAATTCTTTAGCAAGTTTTTTACCCAACAGCTGAAAGAAGTATTTCCAAATCGTAAAATGAGGTTATGATGTATCAATAAAAAAAGATGAACTTAAAACTGGTAATACTATTTTAGATTTATTCATGCATCTGAGTTCGTTTCACAAACTCACCATTTTGCATCTTTCTTCCCATCACCAGACATTTTGCTTTGCATCTGTCTCCTCTCTGAGATTGTTCCATTTCTGATAATTGTGAAC